CCAACAACAACAACAAACACACCGGTACCTGCCGACTGCACAGCGGTGTCAACAGCCCGGCCTATTCTTGCTGCACAAGCACAAATTAACTTGAGTGCAAGCACTGGCAACAAAGGTAAAGCGCAAGAAAAGTTGAAAAACGAAACAACTAAAAATACGGCCATACAGACTGGAATGGACCGCTGTGTTACAATAAAAAGAAAACTTAGTCCGCAAAATTCAACGGGCAGTAAGACAAAAATAAACCGCCTTACCTCAACTCAGCAAGTCAGTACGAATAGATTTGCACTGCTAAGTGACAATGCCGATGATGTGAATAGCCAAATTTCTGAAGGTGCTGCAAAAGCTACTAATGCAAACCTCCGCCCATTTTTATAAGAGAAGAGAATCCAAGCGCTCTTGTAAAAAAAATTCACACAGCTAATCGGTAGTAATAAGTTACATATTATCCCACTATCTAAGGGAAATATTCGCGAAACTAAAGTACAAATTTATTCCGAACAGGATTTTCGAAATACCTGAATGACACAAACACAAAATTTTATACATACCAACTTAAAAGTGCAAAAGGTCTACAAATTGTAATTAAAGGTATCGAACCAAGCGTTGAAGCTGTGGAAGTTTTGGAAGCACTTAAAGAACAAGGTTTCAATCCAAAAGCTGCTGTGAATATTTTTAATAGGAACAAAATCCCTCAACCTATGTTTAAAGTTGAGCTCGAGCCTGAAAACAAACCTCTGGGCAAAAACGATGTGCATCCAATTTATAAATTGCAATATCTGCTGCACCGTAGGATAACTGTGGAAGAACCGCATAAGAGAAATGGCCCTGTACAATGCACCAACTGCCAGGAGTATGGTCATACTAGGTCTTACTGCACGCTTCGCTCAGTGTGCGTAGCTTGTGGAGAGCTACATGTCTCTGCCACTTGCACATCAAACAAAGAAGACCCGCGTGCAAAAAATGTGGTAACTGCGGTGGAAATCACACAGCAAACTACAGAGGCTGTCCAGTCTATAAGGAGTTAAAAAACCGGATCAACCAACGCGTGGCTTCCATACGTACTCATAATGTACCGAATGCCTTTGTACCCTCCCAAACGAATCCTAACGTCTTATTCGCCAAAAGAGCCACGTCGCCAACAGTTCTATCAAACACCGTCAATGGCGTCTCGTTTGCAAGTGCCTTAAAATCAGGCTTAGAAAACCGTGCCCCTACAAAAACTGCACCTCAAGTTGCGCCGCAAGAACAGCATCCCCATGCACAATATGGTAAACCATCCAATATCGTCGATAGCGTCGATGCAACAAAGCATGATGAATTTCATGACTTTCATGCAAAACACAATGCAAGAACTCATGCGAAATCAAAATACGCTGCTCAACCTGCTTGCTACTCAGCAAACAAGATAATGACCTTACTTAAAATAGCCCACTTGAATGCAAATGGCATTCCTCACCACAAACTAGAGCTGTCAAAATTTCTTAAGGACAAGGAAATTGACATAATGCTCCTTGCTGAAACACACCTCACTAATAGATATAATTTTGGCATTTCGGGATATACCTTTTATTGCACGAATCATCCAGATGGAAAGGCGCATGGCGGAACTGGTATTTTAGTCAGAAACCGGATTAAACACCATCATTTGACTGGAATTGCCGAGAATTATCTGCAAGCAACATCAATATGCGTACAAACAAAGCAAGGTGATATTACGCTGTCCGCGGTTTATTGTCCCCCACGTTTCACGATAACAGAAAAACAGTTTATGGATTTCTTCAGTTCGCTGGGAGAGCGCTTCCTTGCTGCAGGTGATTATAATGCGAAGCACCCTCACTGGGGCTCACGCTTGTCCAACCCGAAAAGCAAGCAATTATATAACGCGCTTATATGTAGAAGAAACAAACTCGATTACGCTTCTCCTGGAAAGCCTACATATTGGCCGGCAGACCCGCAAAAGTTGCCAGATTTGATTGACTTTGCGGTGACAAGGAAAATTCCTCGCGGCCTTATTAGTACAGAATCAGTTGCTCAGGTACAAATTTCAGCGGCTCACATTTTGACACATTGGGTACGGGTGGAAGTTAAAAATCATTAGTTGCGGGGTTTGGCCTAAAAACATTTTTTAGATGAGAAGCAAAGGTGTTTGCTTTTTCTGCGTCACTCCGAGCCCATTTGCCATTGTGGTCCCGTACTGGCATTTCAGTCTCTATTGGCGCATTTAGCTTGTGGTGTGCTTTCCATAACGAGTGCTTTGTGCTAGTCGGTGAGAGCTTTTGGATGTACCGGTACTGTGCGTACTGTTCCTCGTTCTTGAGGGCTCTCGTCAGTGCATGTGTGGCCGCCTTGAGCAGTTGTTTTTATGCTGGTGATCTATGAGTCTGCCATATCCGTCGTAGGCGTCGTTTTTCCAAGACAAGCATTTCAATTTTCCTATTGGTTAAATTATATTTTTTATTTTGCACATAACCTTTCTGGGGTGTGGAAATGCTAGCGGCTGCTCTAAGTGTAGATTCAAGAGCGGCTATGGAGTTTTCAATATCGGTCGGCGTATCTAAATTTGGATCGACGTCTATATGCGCACTGATATATTTTTTATACTTTAACCAATTTGTAGCCCTTGTCGTGAGCATATAGGGTGACTCTTTCTTGCGGCTGATGCCACAAGGTGAAAAGTACAGGTGAGTGGTCTGATGAGAGATCTGCAACTGATTCTGTACTAATAAGGCCGCGAGGAATTTTCCTTGTCACCGCAAAGTCAATCAAATCTGGCAACTTTTGCGGGTCTGCCGGCCAATATGTAGGCTTTCCAGGAGAAGCGTAATCGAGTTTGTTTCTTCTACATATAAGCGCGTTATATAATTGCTTGCTTTTCGGGTTGGACAAGCGTGAGCCCCAGTGAGGGTGCTTCGCATTATAATCACCTGCAGCAAGGAAGCGCTCTCCCAGCGAACTGAAGAAATCCATAAACTGTTTTTCTGTTATCGTGAAACGTGGGGGACAATAAACCGCGGACAGCGTAATATCACCTTGCTTTGTTTGTACGCATATTGATGTTGCTTGCAGATAATTCTCGGCAATTCCAGTCAAATGATGGTGTTTAATCCGGTTTCTGACTAAAATACCAGTTCCGCCATGCGCCTTTCCATCTGGATGATTCGTGCAATAAAAGGTATATCCCGAAATACCAAAATTATATCTATTAGTGAGGTGTGTTTCAGCAAGGAGCATTATGTCAATTTCCTTGTCCTTAAGAAATTTTGACAGCTCTAGTTTGTGGTGAGGAATGCCATTTGCATTCAAGTGGGCTATTTTAAGTAAGGTCATTATCTTGTTTGCTGAGTAGCAAGCAGGTTGAGCAGCGTATTTTGATTTCGCATGAGTTCTTGCATTGTGTTTTGCATGAAAGTCATGAAATTCATCATGCTTTGTTGCATCGACGCTATCGACGATATTGGATGGTTTACCATATTGTGCATGGGGATGCTGTTCTTGCGGCGCAACTTGAGGTGCAGTTTTTGTAGGGGCACGGTTTTCTAAGCCTGATTTTAAGGCACTTGCAAACGAGACGCCATTGACGGTGTTTAATAGAACTGTTGGCGACGTGGCTCTTTTGGCGAATAAGACGTCAGGATTCGTTTGGGAGGGTACAAAGGCATTCGGTACATTATGAGTACGTATGGAAGCCACGCGTTGGTTGATCCGGTTTTTTAACTCCTTATAGACTGGACAGCCTCTGTAGTTTGCTGTGTGATTTCCACCGCAGTTACCACATTTTTTGCACGCGGGTCTTCTTTGTTTGATGTGCAAGTGGCAGAGACATGTAGCTCTCCACAAGCTACGCACACTGAGCGAAGCGTGCAGTAAGACCTAGTATGACCATACTCCTGGCAGTTGGTGCATTGTACAGGGCCATTTCTCTTATGCGGTTCTTCCACAGTTATCCTACGGTGCAGCAGATATTGCAATTTATAAATTGGATGCACATCGTTTTTGCCCAGAGGTTTGTTTTCAGGCTCGAGCTCAACTTTAAACATAGGTTGAGGGATTTTGTTCCTATTAAAAATATTCACAGCAGCTTTTGGATTGAAACCTTGTTCTTTAAGTGCTTCCAAAACTTCCACAGCTTCAACGCTTGGTTCGATACCTTTAATTACAATTTGTAGACCTTTTGCACTTTTAAGTTGGTATGTATAAAATTTTGTGTTTGTGTCATTCAGGTATTTCGAAAATCCTGTTCGGAATAAATTTGTACTTTAGTTTCGCGAATATTTCCCTTAGATAGTGGGATAATATGTAACTTATTACTACCGATTAGCTGTGTGAATTTTTTTTACAAGAGCGCTTGGATTCTCTTCTCTTATAAAAATGGGCGGAGGTTTGCATTAGTAGCTTTTGCAGCACCTTCAGAAATTTGGCTATTCACATCATCGGCATTGTCACTTAGCAGTGCAAATCTATTCGTACTGACTTGCTGAGTTGAGGTAAGGCGGTTTATTTTTGTCTTACTGCCCGTTGAATTTTGCGGACTAAGTTTTCTTTTTATTGTAACACAGCGGTCCATTCCAGTCTGTATGGCCGTATTTTTAGTTGTTTCGTTTTTCAACTTTTCTTGCGCTTTACCTTTGTTGCCAGTGCTTGCACTCAAGTTAATTTGTGCTTGTGCAGCAAGAATAGGCCGTGCTGTTGACACCGCTATGCAGTCGGCAGGTACCGGTGTGTTTGTTGTTGTTGTTGGCGCGATGGAGGTAGTAAAACATGTCACTGTACTAGTTGTGGTTGCCGCTATATTTTGGGATATGTTATCGCTTACCGAATTTGGTGTAAGCGTTGGGCGTGAAATGTGATACGGCACAGGTGAGGCGCACTCTTCACTCAAAGACATCGGAGTCGTCAATGGTAAGTTTGGAGGACAAGTCCGCTGACCTGAATCTTGAGGGGGTTTGAGGGTGGTCGATGGATTGGGCTTTGCGCTTTCGCTGTAACTCTCGTTTTGCTCGCGTTGTGTCTGAGCTCGGATTGCAGCTTGACTCATCGCTTTCTGTTTTCATTTGGTTTGTTTGTTTATTTTATTTTATTTTATTTTATTTTTTTTTTGTTTTATTAAAAATAATTTAAATCTAATTTTTTAACAGGTGGCAACTCTTAAAAAAAAATAAACCTTCTATTGTTCACAGATCAAGCTTTTTAATCTGACACTTCATTTTTGAAAATGGAACGAATCGTGCAGATCTCAAGGCACTGACAAAAAATGAAAAAAATATTTTATGCTTTAGCGAAAAATGCATTACTTCAGAAAGCGCAAAAATTAGCAGGTTTTTATTTCTTCTTTTGAAAGCTAAAAGCCCGTACTATTTAACAAAATAATAGAAAATAACCTATTTTTAAATATGTTTTTTATCCATTCCACTAAAATTTAGCATTTTTTGAAATTTTGTTTAAAAAAATGTTTTTCTGAAATACCGCAGGGACACCCTGTGTTTAATTTTAGTCCAAAATTTTAATTCCTGTAATTTTCTACTATTTATATGGAAACAAGAAACGTCAAACCACCATTTTATTTCAAAGAATATATTTTTGACATTTTTTCTGTGAAGAGCTTGCGCATCGCTATGACCGAAAATGTTAGTTTGGAGTGCTAAATTTCAAAAAAGCTCCCTCAAGCCACGTGGCTGTCTGCGACATTTTATGACACGCGAAAGTCACGCTTCCAATATTTTAGACGTACGCACATTCCGAAGGTCAAACATGGACTCGGACCACTATCTTGTTGCTGAAATGATACGCGCAACCTTGGTGCTGCTTCTTTTTTTCATGTTCGTCGACCGATTCACCATCTATAAAGGCTACTCCTAGCATTTGCAGGAAACAGGCATTTTCCGCGTCAGACATTTCGACATCCCTCATATTGGGCACCTGCTCTTCCCCATCCTCAGATAAAGAATCTCCTCCGTTGTCCACAATGGTGTCAAAAAGATACTGAATATATGCCTCATCTTCTGCAGCACTCAATATGTAAAAGAAAAGGTATTAAAAATTTTGGTTTGTCAAAATATATTTAAATATATGCACTGGAAGATAGACTGTAGTTGTACCATGATGCAATAATGACAGGTGTTGAAGGTTAGGAGAAACTGTGATGTTTCTTTGCTAATTTCACTGAACATTTCCCAAAATATTAGAAAAAAATTCTAAATAAGCTACATTGATTAAATTTTCGTTGTTCGTTTTGTTCTTATTCGCTGACATTTGTTTTCTAATTGCGTGAAATTTGGTAAGTATTGCAATAGAACCGAATTATTTTACAAATAAATTATTATTTTGCATTTATTAGGTCATTTCCTTAGTGTTTTCCTGGCCGACCTGTGCTGGTATTGTAATTAAGAGCTAATACACATAAGTTACAACGTATTATTTTGACTTCAATGATGAACCATTCCATTTGCAGCATTCTCTGGTGAACTGCAGCTGCTTCCGAATTTGATTGTGTGCATCATCCTGCAGATATTTTGAAGTAAGTTGGAACCAGCTCTTTGTTATTTCAAAACCTAATGAACCATTTATTCGCAGATTTTGTGGACGCTTCTACCTGCTCCGCCCGTGTTTTATAGTATTGCGTCCCTGTTGCGCCTTTGCATTAGTGTGTGCGTTGTGCTTTAGACACGTTGAAGTAAGTTGAAACCAGGTTTTTGTTTGTTAAAGCCATTTATTTGCAGATTGTTTGTATGCTTCCGCTGTGCTGCGTTCCTGCTTCACCCCTGTATTAGATTGCTGCGTTCCTGTTAATATACACATCGTCGTTTAAAGTACAAAACCGCGTAACTGACATTTGTTGCTAAAAATTGGATTTGCTCACACAAGTTCTTGGCTCAATCCTTATCCATTTTCCTGAAATATACTAGCCAAAAATGCGATTGCTTTTTAAAAAAGGATAACCATTTTGAAATATGAGTGTTTTTACTCTCTAGAAAATAATTTATGCAGCCTCGCATACGTGGGTTTGCATTATCTTGATACGTGGTTTTGCATTTTATTGATACCCGGTTTTACATATATTGACTTAGATATGTATAGACAATTAATGATGTGTAGTACATAATATTTTTTTTTATGTTGAAACTAGATATGTACATTAGACTGCATCACCAAAAAAAGTTGCAGTTTTTCCGCTGGGATTGCACAATTTGTTATATTTTAAGAAGTCCACCAAAATATTTCGGAAAAATATTAAGATTTTAGTGAGCTGGACCGATTTGAAAACACCTCCAAAAATTGAGTTTTTTATGAATAAAAATGGTTTCTTAAAGAACTTTTTGAAAAAAGTCCCCTCAGATGACAAAATAGATTAAGCTTAAAAAATCTCCATAAAAATATTTAAAAATCTTTGCAACGGAATCGTTAGAACGAGATTTTTGATGCTGTTTTTTTACTTTTTTTAAAGATTGATTTACGAAAACCTTGAATAACTGGGCCAAAACTATTCTGATTTAGACTTAAGGGATCTCAGTGGAAACGTATTTTCACACTGTTTTTATTTCTGTACAAAAAAGTCATTCGTATCCCAATTTTTTATTTTTCAGATACCAACACATCTTAATTCAACTTTGAATAACGTTCGTTCATCCTACCTTTCTCTGTCATCCTTTGAATGAGTTTATTAGCAACGAAATAAAAACGATGAGAAAAAACTTTTCCAATGACACCTCTTAAGTCTAAATCGGAAGAGTTTAGGCTGTGTTATTAAAGTTTTTCTTATACCAATTTTTGAAAAAAGTTAAAAAACAGCATCAAAAATCTCATTATTACGATTCCGTTAAAATTTTTTTTAAATTTTTTTTAAATATTTTTATGCAATTTTTTTAAGCTAAAACCGTTTTGACATTTGAGGGCATTTTTTCAAAAAAAAAATGTTTAAGAAACTATTTTTATTCATATAAAATTCCATTTTTAGAGGTATTTTCAAATCGGTCCAGCTCACTTAAATCTTAATATTTTTCCGAAATATTTTGGTGGACGTCTTAAAATATAATAAATTTTATAATTCCAATGGAAAAATAGCACCGATTTTTTTTTGTATGGGGAGTGATGCAGTCTAATGTACATATATAGTATGTTATTATTATTATTCGGTTCAGAAAGTCCTATCTCAAATGAAAATATTTTGAAAATGTGCTGAGATAGGGCGTTTTTGGATCGCCAGCTGAGATAGGGTGTTTTTGAACCGAGTTCTGAGATAGGGCATTTTTCAATCAAATTCTAAAGTGGGGCGTTTTCCAGCCAAATTTTGAAATAGGGCGTTGAAAAGTTTTCTGATATCGAGTGTTTTCGAGACGATATAGGTCGATATTCCACTCAGCCATCGATATATAGTCGCATTTTTCGGTATATGGAAGACGATTAAACACGATTTGTTTTTATATCGATTCTAAAAAATCAACGGTAATTTTTAGCCACTTCAAACTTGCATATAGTAAGACTAAAATTAAAGGGGCTATAAAACTGAGTGCTCAAAAAAATTCTAACACTTCTGAGAAAAAAGTGTGAATTTTGGGTGAAATTTTTTTTTGTGGTTTCTACGTAGTTTTAAAATTGGGTTTATGTAGGTTTTGTTAGAAATTGAACTTTATTGCAAATTCTTAGAAATAAATTAACATGAGAGGGAAATAATATCACTTTGAAATGGGGTTGCTATTGATATGACCGATACTGTATGTATATAATAAATCTTGTACAATTCCAAATCAAAGTGGATTTACTAAAATGAACACAACGTATTAATTATAAATTCTGAAATATTTGTTAATTTCAAAAACAAATAGATAAAACATTAAAAAGCAGTCAATGCTTGCTGTATGACTCGAACTTGGATGTACGTGAACTTGGGTAATGTATAATTGTTTATATGATTCCTCAAAGTATCCCTTATATAACACTGTGGAACACAAAAAAACCTTAGTGCGAATATATCAGGTTTGATGGCTGTTGACCATACCAATAATGCCTCATACTCAGATTTACTAGATCAATTCGTGTTCTCCGAGGAAAAAAAATTTCACGATCCAAAAATCTGAAACATTTTTTTTTTCCATT